CTCTCTCTCTCTCTCTCTCTCTCTCTCTCTCTCTCTCTCTCTCATCGGTGCCGTACAGGTATCGCGGGGAAGATCGAGGAAGAATAGGTTGTGCAGCTGCAATGAACAGCACCACAAACACCCTCTTCACTTCTACGCCCAGCCCTAAGGTAGAAACACGCTGCGGCCTCATGCGAAGATTAGAACCTCCCTAGCGCATACCTACACTTTCGACGGGCCTGATTTCACAAAGGGGAATGAATGAATCAATGCACACAGGAGAGACTGCAACGTTTCAAAACACCACATGCGTTCGAGAGTTTCGTCGTTTGGACGTCAGAAGGCACCGGCAGCCGGTCGAACGAGATACCAAGTACAAGTCATAGAAGTATTATTTTTCATACCTCGATACATATTCCGACGGTGCTGCTGCACTGACGATCCGTTTAACTTCCAGCGCCCTCCCTAATGAAACAACCCCGAAGAAAAACCACAAGAAAATCACGAAAGATGCGAAAAAAAAAAATAACGAAAAACATGACAAAGAAGAACCGCAACAAAAAATGAATAAAAAGAAAGAGAAACCGAACAACCCACCTCCGCGTTGGAGTAGCGCTTGATCTGCTTGGCGACCTTGTCGAAGGGGAAGGGTGTCACTTGCTCCACCCGGGCGATGGCGATATCCGTGCGACCCGTCTGTTCCGTCCCATGGCACATATTCCCGTTCAGTTCCATGCCGTGCCGTTCCGTGGTATTTCGATTCGTTTCCATTAGGTATGTTTCACCCGCAGTAACGACCGACCAAAAGTGCACATTGGTCCACCCCAACCCCAAAAAAAGCGAGGCCAAAGCAACAAGCACCGGCGGATGGCGAAGGCGTTATTGGCGGTGGACGAGAGCCGGTTCAGCAGAGACGGAATGCTCTCGACGTATTTACCGACCCGACAATCACTCAGACTCCTGCCAGCAACTACTACAAAAGACAAGAGACAGGGCCCATCCACCATCAAGGGGCTAAGAAGGGATCGCACTCGAGCGGCCTGTATTACAACATTATGATTAAGAGAGGGGGGAATCGCTATCCCCCAACCACACCCCGTACCCCCCATCAAAACCAATATTAAAACCCTCGGGAAGGGTTCGCCCAGACAGGACAGGGGCGCGCATGGAGTAGCCCAGGTAGCGACACAGAGTAAATATTGCAAAAGAGAAACAAGGGGAGGTATCGGCATCCCCGCCAGCCAGCCTAGCGGGCAGGCGAGCTGCGGCAGGCGTGTGCCTCCTAGCCACAGTAGGTTGTCCGAACCCGCACTGTTGGGGAAGGTCCCTGAAAAGAATTTTTTGAAGTATTTTGTTGTGCCATGGAGTTTTGTATCGTGATTCATAGTACCTATCGGGGACCGTGTTTTTCGGGACCGCGGTATGTAATCAAGGCCACTGTACTCGCCTTAGCCCTCTCTGCCACGAGGTCGTAGTAGAACTGACCGCTGCAAAGGATCAGTCGGGTCACGCCCTCCGGTGCGTTGCGAATCGCTTCATCAGCCTGTTGCAAAAAAAAGGTTGAGTACAACACGAACGACGAATGATAACTCATGAAGCACAAATGCTTCGTCAGCCTGCCAAAAGCGGTTACACACCAAGCACGAATGCCAACTGAGGAAAAAAAAAAAACACACACACACACCAACACACACACAAATGTCAATGAAGAATGAAGGAGCTCGAATCAGCAGACCTCCGGCAATGCGACAAAACTGGTGTCACGGCCCCCATTGTTCTGGTGACGGAGATTTCTGAGCGGGGGCCGAACATCTCTAGCAAGGTTTGTGGGGGAGGCCGTTTCCAACGATAATGCAATTCGGAGGGGACTATTGTACCACAAGAGTGACCAGCATACAGTCACCCCCCGGTTGAGGACACCAATCCTCAGGACACTCCCCCCGGTTAAGGACACTTTTTTTTCTTTCACAGGCGTGGTGGCTTGCAGAATTGTCAACACAACGAGGGGCATGCATCAACCTTAAGGACACTTCCCCGGCTCACGAGACACCTGTTTAAACGAAAACCATGCGTGTCGTTGACCGAGGGACGACTGTACTTCCATGCGAAACTTCATACGGTTAACGACTGTTGTAAAGGGTATCTGGGGGAGACCAAGCAACAGGGTTGTGGGAGGAGGGAGTGGTGTTGTGCCAGCAGTGAGTGAACTGGCGTGCTACTGGTAGCATGTGCTCTACTATTACAGCCGGTGCGTCATGAGAGTGGTGTTGTGCCAGCAGTGAGTGAACTGGCGTGCTACTGGTAGCATGTGCTCTACTATTACAGCCGGTGCGTCATGAGAGTGGTATTGTGCCAGCAGTGAGTGAGCTGGCGTGCTACAGGTAGCATGTGCTCTACTATTACAGCCGGTGCGTCATGAGAGTGGTGTTGTGCCAGCAGTGAGTGAACTGGCGTGCTACTGGTAGCATGTGCTCTACTGTTACAGCCGGTGCGTCATGAGAGTGGTATTGTGCCAGCAGTGAGTGAACTGGCGTGCTACTGGTAGCATGTGCCCTACTACTACAGCCGGTGCGTCATGAGAGTGGTGTTGTGCCAGCAGTGAGTGAACTGGCGTGCTACTGGTAGCATGTGCTCTACTGTTACAGCCGGTGCGTCGTGGTCGGCAAGTATTTTCCCATTTGTTGATAGCTGCTGAAGGCTAACGTTCATAACAGCGAAAGCCAACACAGCCAACTTACATTCAGCAAAGAAGCGAGACAAGCAGTGGGTGAAGAATAGAAAGCATGCAAGTAATGCCCCGCACAATGGTTGGTATGGATTCAGTCAACGTAAATACATCGCGGACTCCTTTCTGTCTGCTCATGGAGATGAATAAAAAAATGTGTTTCGCAAAAGAAAAAAAAATCACCTCCGGGATAACCCTCATGAACATCGTGTCCTTTCCCATCGCGCTAAGGTCCGAGCAAGCGGCCTTGAGCCGCAGCAGCTTCTTGGGCGAAACCACGATCAGGGGCTTGCGGAACTCACGGTGCACCTGTTTTCGTGCGTCGGATCGAAGGCATACGGAACGAAGGCGGGACAGACCGTGAAACACGAGCAAGGTGGAGATAGATTACAGCTTCAATGCTAGAAAAAAATGTGACGTGTCGATGCTGCTTGTAGTAGGGCTTGCCTGACTTTTGGCGTTTGACTTGCGCTCCACGGTGCTAGAGGGACGGTACTACTCAGCTTGCGGTGGAACCCACCATCCCATCCCGTTCTAAATCCCGAGGAAACTAGATGGCACCTTTTGGTTGATGTTGATGTTGATGTTGATGCCCTGAGGCGGCAACCACCCCGAACCCAAATGTTTCCCGCCTGCTTCCCCACTGCCATCCACAACCACCAACCGCCCTACACAACGCCAAGCAGCGTCGACATTACCAACAAAAAAATGAAACGAATCTTGGAGAGAACTTTTCAACAAAAACAAGCCAAACATCTTGAGAGCAAAAAAAAAAACAAGCCTGAAGGTCTTGAGAGTGAACCATCAACCTGAATGTACAACACGCACCTGTCGGCGTAGCGCGTGGTAGTAGTTGGCCGCCGTGGTGCAGTTGATGACCTGCCAGTTGCACTGCTGGATCTGCATCCTGGTCTCGTGCTTCATTCCGGGGACGTGCTCGGGGTCGCAGTCGCTCATCTGATTGGTCAAACACAAAACAAGAAAACACACACACACATAAAACAGAAAACAACGGGAAAAGAAACAATGTTGCACACACAACAAAGGTAGAAAAAAAGAGGACAAACTACAACTGGGCAGGAAATATGGGTAACCAAGAACAATTACACACACAAGGCAGAAAAAAAAAAAAACGGGGACGAAAAAACACGACAAACAAGACTCGAGAGTGAACAAAACATTGACAGCACACTTCGACACCATGGATGGATGGCCCAACAACGATGTTGTGCACAACTCAATACATGCCGAGAAAGGACCAGTGCGACCTTTTCAGCAACCGGAACCAAACCACAAGACTCGTGAGCGACGGCAACCCAAACTAATGGATTGGTGTCGGCCGTTACAAGAATGGTCCAGAGCTTGGCCCTTGATGATTCAGCACACCTGGAGGAACCTCTCCATCCTGCAGCTGGAGTGCTCTGCCCCCTGGCCGTCGTACCCGTGGGGGAGCAGTACCGTCAGGCCGCTCTGCCGCAGCCACTTGTCCTCGCCCGACGAGATAAACTGGTCGAATATCACCTGCCGTCACAAACAAGCAAAAAACAGCAGCAGCAGCAACAAACAACAACAGAGGCAATTAGACAACATTCAAACAGCGTCAACACAAAGCATTAAGCCGCAGGAACGTACGACGACCATCCAAACGTTAAAGAACCATGTCTTGATTGCTGCGAGCGCTACAGGAAAATAAAGCTAGAAAAAAAAAAATACAAACAACCAGCAGGCGCCGTGTAGAACACGCTCTTCGATCATGGTCCCGCAACATACAGACCCTATTTTCATGTTTTGATTGGCCAGCCGGCTAGCGCGGTCGATACCAATAAAAACGAAACACACGCACAGATCGTAGCCTTTATTTAGGCCGGGTTCTAACGAAGTGCCGAAAATCAAAATCCAATATGGGCACAAAATCAAAATCAAAATGCGTTATCGTGGAAAACTGAAAAAAGAGGGTTGGGTGTGTATGTTAACGAGGATAGGAGACAGATGAGGCAAAAAACTCAAAAAGACCTGGCGCAAGGGGAAGACCCGGCAGCGAAGCGGTGAGTTTTCCAGGGTGGGTTTTGCGCTCTTCTGTTCACGTGTTAGCCGATATCTCGCCAAATACTCAACGAGTTGCCTCAAGAACGGTGTCCGGAGGGAGCTGATGACATGAGTTGTTGGGCAATGCCAAGGTTTGGCGCCGTTAGGTGCCGAATGCGCCGGAAAAAAAAGTTGCGTTTATGAAACAATGCCAACCGGTTGCGGGCAGTCACTTCAAGTTCAGTGTTTTGGGGCGCCACGGGTTTGGTTATCCACTATCCACCGATAACTTTCCGAAGGAAGGAGCAACAGCAACAGCAACGCCACGCGGCGGGAGGTACCTCTCTGCTCCATCTTTCAAGCCCAAGGTCTGCTACCGTGGGGTACCGTGCGTGTAGGGAAAAAAAGTGGGTTGACCTTGAAATTTTCACGTCAGAAAGCGGTTAGTTCAAGTTCGTGCCGAGTGTCTGCTCGCAGTGTAGTTTTTCAGCGATAACTCTTCGAAGGAGGAAGCAACAGCATTCGCAATGCCACGCGACAGGAGGTAGCTCTACCCGCCATCTTTCTCGTACAAGGTTAGATGCCTTGGGGTATCGTGAGTGTGGAGAAAAAAAGTTGCAACTACCCTCTCCCCGACGCAACAGCCCGAAAAAGCTGCGCAGCCCTGTTGTGATCGTCAGTCCGTTCACCGCTTGTCACGATCGACATTTTCTCCTCGAGCACCCAACGAGTTGGCCCGGTTTTTGGCTTGCCGGCTAGAAGAGTCTTCTGGCTACAAATAACGGCCATGGTGTCGGTGGTAGGGTGCCGATAGCCCTTCTATGAGCAGTGTATAGAAGGNAACAGCCCGAAAAAGCTGCGCAGCCCTGTTGTGATCGTCAGTCCGTTCACCGCTTGTCACGATCGACATTTTCTCCTCGAGCACCCAACGAGTTGGCCCGGTTTTTGGCTTGCCGGCTAGAAGAGTCTTCTGGCTACAAATAACGGCCATGGTGTCGGTGGTAGGGTGCCGATAGCCCTTCTATGAGCAGTGTATAGAAGGTCGTGTTGTACACTTGCTTCGCAGCTGCCTCGCGGCCGGTGCTCCAAGCCTCGTAGTCTTGAACTCCTTGCCTCTTTGATTTTGATTTTGATAAAAAGAAAGTCCTCCGGGGGCTTCTTCGCAGACAGAGGAACTTCGAAAAATCAAAGGGCGTCGTCAGGAGGTAGCAGATATTCGGCCAATCAGATCTTGATTTTGATTTTGATTTTTCAGGTTTTTGATTTTGGGCACATCGTCAATACACGACCTCAGAAGCATTTTTGTGTTTTCGATCACGCTGAGACTGACGGAACTTCATGGGTGAGCCGGTCAGCGCGGTCGATGCAAACAACACAACACTTCCAAGCGTAGGCATGCAAGCGTACCGACCTGTGCGCCGTTCGCGAAGTCCCCGAACTGAGCCTCCCAGAGGCAGAGGGCGTTAGGGTTCTCCAGAGAGTAGCCCATCTCGAAGCCTAGCACGCCGAACTCGGACAGGATAGAGTTCCGAACCGTGAACTTCGCCTGGAACGGGACGTATATTCCAATTTCCATTGGGATGAGAAACGCAGAACCGTCGATGCGATGGAAATCCGAGAAAAATGAATCGTTGGGGGCAAGGGGGGAAGGGGCTCACGGTAGTGTGTAGGGTGCGCCATGTGGATTATTCCAGCTGCCCCTGATTCAATCAAGCACTCGTTCGCTTTGCCATGCACTCCCCTACCGACTACGCCAGCTTCCCCTGATTCAAGCAATCACTATTAGTTCGCTTTGTGCGCGTAGAAAAAAAGGGGCCATGCACCTGCTGCCGACCGTGCCTCTAGCCTTGGTTTTCGCATGTGTGTGGCCGCCGCGGCAGAAACGAGTTATCTCGCGTGTACAGGAGGTACGGGGTCCCAATTCGTACCGTGTTGTTCTATTGCCGTGAACTTCGGTTCTCATTTCTTTCCCCACGTTAGCAAAGGTGAAAAAACACAAAAGGTTGAATGCTCAAGCAGTCACGCTGTACACAGATCACACATGTACAAGCAGATTGTCGAGTTAAACCGCCGCACGGTGGGCGGAACAACAATTCCGATATTCGTACGGCCATCATTTTCAATATTAGCGGGGACCTTGATGTTTGAGTTGGACAAGTGGGTAGAGGCCAACGGCCATGGACGCAAACGAGAAAGCAAAAGGGAGAACCGGAGGCTTCAACACCCTAGGCAACAACAATGGGAGGATGCACGGCGGGGCCCCGGCTGAGCAGTGACCAGGCGAGGGGGGTAACACTAGCCGACTCCGTGAGTTCATCACTATTACCACTCACCACAGGAACTTTTCTTTGATTCACAATACTTGTCTCACCTGCGCGTCTGGCGCCGTGCTCATGTCCGATATAGGGAGGGAGGGGATGCAGCTCTTCGCCAGGTGGTTGAGCGGCGTGTGGGTCTCGTTGGTCTCCTGGGAGAAAATAGCCCAATGCAAGCAGGCGAGCACGCACGAGGGCAAAAAAAAAAAACACGTAAAACAGTGGTTTACGAAGCAGTCAATCACAACGATCAATCGCGAAAACGCGACATCACGTACAGGTCGACGCGCTCTTCGAAAACAACAAAAAGGGAGCAAATGACCAAAGCAAGCGTGAAAAGTGGGCAGCTGGGATCAAACCAGAGAAGAAACGTCAGCTTCACACTATTCAAAAACAGTTTCGGAGGCGGGCGGGGCATTCGGCTTCACAGAAAAGTGCGCCCTCGTTGAACTTGGCCTAGTGGAGGGCACCCAAGTTTCAATATTCTGATTGACCAGAAGGTGTCAAGAGCCCATGCACCACAAAACACGCACGCGGCGTCGGAATCCAACGACGCCAACGCCACTGGGATAGCCACAGCGCGCCCGCCACAAACACCACCGACGATGGCGATGACAAGGGCACACCCACAGCAAAGCCCACGACTAAACGGCGACGACACAAAACGACCTACCAAACACCCGACCTCTTGGAGGAGTCTTCCGGGAGACACAAAACACATAACGTAAACCAAAACACGTACTTCGTACACAGGAATGGGGTTCCAGCACATGGCCATCGAAGCGTACTTGAATGTTCAGTAGAACTGACGAATTTCATTGGTCAGCCGATTTGCGGTCAACGCCAATAAATAAAACACACTCCTATACACACACCCCTTTCACGGGGTCCCACATCAGCCTTCAAGAATTTTCATTGGTCAGCCAGTAAGTGCAGTCCATACTAACAAAAAAAACACACACACACATACATGGCGGTACCTGATCGTGGAGAACAGCGTGGCGGTGGCTAAAGGTGCCGCGCTCCACGTCTTGCCCCGTGAGCCTGACGTGGTTCCCCTCGAGGAGCAAAGTGCCGAACGCAAGGGCCTCGGCCGTTCCCCAGTCGACGCCCTCGCCGTCCACGATAGACTGTTAAATTCAACAAAACAACACAAGGCAAGGCATTTTGTTGCCTCAGCTAGTAAACAGCTGGAAAACGAACAGTCGGAGGCGGTGGTTGGCTTGCTGGCTATTCTCCGTGAAAAACACTACCCGGTTTTCCGTGAAAACAAGAATTGTCCCGTCCCATATCACTACCCCCCCCCGGTGTTTACCATCGGGGTTGGGTTTTCGTCGCTTGGCAACGACGTTGTAAAACAAGCCCCCCCCCCCCCGGTGTTTGCCATCGGGGTTGGGTTTTCGTCGGTTGGCAACGACTTTGTAAAATAAGCC